TCACATGTAGGGACCAGCTGCAGCTCTGCTCCAACAGTCTTCTTCATTCTGGGGTCCAGAGCAGCCCCTGTGTGAGACAGGCAACTTTCATGGCAGTAGAAAAAGAGCAATGGTGGAACCAATGAGAGCTCACAAAGCTTCTGCCTCAGTGCAGCTGACAGCATTTCTACTCGCATTCCATCTGCCAACGTGAGCGACATTGACAGGTCTGGAGTCAAAGGTGTGGGACGTATACTTCTCACACGGGAATAGACTCAGCAATGAATATTTTAATCAATTAATGCAGTTTACACCACCTAGTAAGTGTCCCTAGCAACAGAGACATAAGAGGCTGAGAGAAAAATCATTAGAAAGCAAAATGATCAAGGCTGCAGAAAGATATTCCCGATGAGTAAGATGCTCACTGTTAAATACTTCAAGTTAAAACAAGCTGATTCTTGTAAGCAAACATGCTGTAAACTTTTGTAAATGTAGCCCACAGCCATAGTTACTCAGCATAAGTAGCAATTTCACCTGTAGAGTCAGTGCTGGAAAGCTAGGATGTCTTACATCCTAGGTTAGGATGTCAACAGGGAATTCTGCAGAAGTGGATGATTGAGGATCCTCTGCCTCTCTCTGTAGTATTCATATGTGCTACCACTCTCCCTTACTACATGGATTTTCATAGGTGAATCCCACTCCTCCCCCTCCCATTTGTAAATCTACCCATTGAAGCAGGGTTCTTAGCCTAGGACCCACTGATTTTCTAGAAGAGTCATAGATAATCATTAATAGGGCCATGAAATCATATACGCAAGTTGGGTATGCTTTTGTGTATATGGGTGTTTTTGTTTTTTTTTTTTTTTCATGAAGAGAAAGACTATACTTTTTATCAAATTCACAGTGACCTGGACCCAAGAAATGTTAAGAACCTTTATTTTAAGACCTAACTTAAAAGCTATTTCAATACCATGAGGCTGTGATCCTCAAAATTCTATCCCCACTGGAATCACCCGTGGCTTCCCTGTGTTATCTCACCTGTCTCAAAAAACCTCAAAATTTTCAACTGTTTTTTAATGACCGAGGTATCACTTACATATGCTAGAGTGCACAGCTATGAATTGTATAGTCCAGTGAATTTTTACATATGTGTAGACCCATGTGCCCAGCACCTAAAGCACATATAGAACACTTGCAGCTAACCAGCTGCCTCTTTTTTTTTTTTTTTTTTTTTTTTTTTTTGAGACAGAGTCTCGCTCTGTCACCCAGGCTGGAGTGCAGAGGTGCAATCTTGGCTCACTGCAACCTCTGCATACCGGGTTTAAGCAATTCCCCTGCCTCCGTCTCCCGAGTAGCTGGAATTACAGGTGCCTGCCACCATGCCTGGCTAATTTTTCGTGTTTTTAGTAGAGACAGGGTTTCACCATGTTGGCCAGGCTGGTCTTGAACTCCTGACCTCGTGATCCGCTCGCCTCGGCCTCCCAAAGTGCTGGGATTACAGGCGTGAGCCACTGTGCCCGGCCACCTCCTGGCTCTTTCATGTCCCCTCTCCACCAATGCCATCCTCAAAGGTCACTATTATGACTTCCAGCATCATAGATTAGTTTTGCCAGTTCTTTTTAAATACAATTTTATTCATAATAGTTGGTTTCTTGTTTTGTTTTGTTGAGACAGAGTCTCACTGTGTCACCCAGGCTAGAGTACAGTGATGCGATCTCGGCCTCATAGCAACCTCCGCCTCCCAGGTTCAAGCGATTCTCCTGCCTCAGCCTCCCAAGTAACTGGGATTACAGGCACATGCCACTACGCCCGGCTATTTTTGTATTTTTTAGAAGAGACGGGGTTTTGCCATGTTAGCCAGGCTGTTCTCAAACTCCTGACCTCAAGTGATCCACTCACCTCGGCCTCCCAAAGTGCTGGGATTACAGCACCCGGCCTTGTTGGTAATAGTTTTGACACGTGTTTACAACAGCACACTGTTCAAGAGGAAATCTCATCCTTTCACAGCAAGTAGGTCGAATCACCCTGAGCCCACCTGGGGCACCACCCCAGGCCTGAGAGCTCCTCCTGGGATGGGGAGAAGTGATGAGAGGGGGAAATATGACGATGAATGAGGTGGCTCGCCAGCAGCTCCTCACTTTTCCATTAAGAAAGAAAACAGGCCGGGGCGGGGGGCGGTGGTGGCTCACGCCTACAATCCCAGCACTTTGGGAGGCCAAGGCGGTTGGATCACCTGAGGTCAGGAGTTCAAGGCCAGCCTGCCAACATGGCAAAACCTCGTCTCTACTAAAAATACGAAAATTAGCCAGGGGTGGTCGTGGGCCCCTGTAATCCCAGCTACTCAGGAGGCTGAGGCAGGAGAATCACTTGAACCTGGGAGGCGGAGGTTGCAGTGAGCCGAGATCGTACCATTGCACTCTAGCCTGGGTGATAGAGTGAAACTTCATCTCAAAAAAAAAAAAAAATTGAAACCAGCACAGGGGTGGCAGGGGAGAAGAGGTGAAGGATGGCTGACAGCTAGGCTGGAGGAGGGGCACCCAGGATGGGAGGAGGCAGAAGCTGCTGGGTGAATAAAACAGGCAGCCCCTCCCTAGCAATCCTAGCCTTGAACCCTGGGCCATGAGGTAGAAGTGGAGGGACTGGGCCTCTTCCACGTCCTTTTGCAGGATTGCCTTCCCAGAAGGGGAGGCTGGGCATTACAATCCAGCTGAGAATAAAATTAAAGAGTTTTGGGGAAATGCTGCTGTGAAGAACGACCTGGGCTTGGGACTCCCCCTCTGTCTTTTCAGGGGACAACTCCTCTTTGGCAGGGAGTGGGGCCGCTGCTTTGTCTGGGTCCCAAAGCCCAAGGGTGAAGAAAAGTCCGTTGGGGAAGAAGAGAGTGGAGGCTTCCTAAAGGAACTGAGACCTTTGCAAGAGTGGTAGAGGATGCCCCTGGGGAGGGGGGAAGGGGAAATCAGCAGTTCATGGGGGAAGTTCAAACCCCAGGGCCTCCTTCCAAAGTCACTCTGCTTCCTGGATTTGTTAAAATGGATCTGGGAAATGGGGAGACATGGGAAGGTGGGAAGGGCGGGAGGGGTGGAAGTAGAGGAAGGTGGAAAGGGGACACTGGTGGAACTTAAATCAGATTTTTAATTTCTTTTTTTAATTTTATTTTTTATTCTAGCAAGCAGCCCACTTATACATGGCACTAAACCTCTCTCCTTCCCAGGCAGGCAGGATTACTCCAAAGGGCAGGTGTGCTTTTCATTCATCCTCTCTTAATAAGTGGTGCCTGTTGGGGGCTGGAGTTAAGTTTGAGCCCCCCTTTCAACACCCTGTCCCTGGATACACCAGCAAGACCTGGCCTGAATATAGCTGAGAAACTCGTTTAAAACAGGCAGAAGTGGGCTGGGGCAAGGCGGACCCTGTGGGAGGAGG